ACTCATGGTATGTGCAATACGAACCCATAGTCTTTCTCATTGCTGACCCTTCTAGGTCATCCAAGCTGTGCGCCGCCTCTACAACTCCAAAGGCACGAAGCTTCCTCTTCCCAGGATCGTGGAGCTTAATCGCCGCCTCGTCCAGGGTTACGAACGCTACAAAGACGACCCTCGCATTGTCGAACTCAAGAAGGAGGTCACCACTTACAATGGCAAGCTTAAGGCGCTCGGCCTCCGAGATCATCAGGTGCAATACGCCAAGATGCATCCTATCACGGCGTTTGGGCTTTTCTTCTACCGTCTTGGAAAGCTGCTCTTCCTGAGCATGCTCGTCCTTCCCGGAACTCTGCTCTTCAGCTTGGTCTTCATTGTCACTAAGGTTGTCTCGATCAAGAAGGCCAGAGAGGCACTTGCTGCATCAAACGTCAAGGTTCAAGCCAGAGATGTCATGGCTACGTGGAAGCTTCTCGTTGCCATGGCCGCCGCCCCAACAGCTTACGCCTGGTATGTTTGCTTGGGACTCTACTGGTACTCCTACAACCAATGCAACGGATACCTTCCTGCTGGCATTCAGAAGCGCTGGCTCATCATCCCCCAACTTGTCGTCTACGTCACCCTCACATACGGCGCTCTCCGATTCGGCGAAGTCGCCATGGACATCCTCAAGTCCCTCGGCCCCCTCTGGAAGATGATGAACCCCTTCTCCAACAACGAACTCGTCAAACTACAAGAGCGCCGTGAGAATCTCGCTCAGCGCGTGAACGACATCATCAACGAACTCGGACCGGAGATGTACGAGGACTTCCACTCCAAACGCATCGTCGAGGATCCCTTCGTCAAGCAAGAGCGTCCCAACACACCACCGCAAAAGTCGGACGAAGACGCGGAAAGAGAGGCAGGTCAGGATATTGAAACATACGATTACCCCGCTTCGCCCGGCTCCATCAACGAGATACCGCGCAACGAATCGTTCCACGACCTTGCCAACCAAGACTTCTTCTCTAGTCGACCGCAGACGCCGAAGAAGAGCCGTAGCAGGAATAGCAGCAGTGCGAACCTGGGCGGCTTCCAGCTCAAACCTTTTAGTACTATTGACGGCAACCTGGACGAGGTGAAGAGGAGGCTGACAGATGGTGTCAAGCAGCGGACGAGGAAAAGAAGGAGTAGTGGAGAAGGAAGTTGGGACGACGGTGAAGATGGTGAGGGCCTAACAATGGGAGGAAGGAAAGAGCGCTCGTATACCAAGTAGTTTTTGGTCGTCATCGTAGTTTGGATGAGCGGTGTGTCCGTTTTGCTTGTGCGTTAGTACTAAAGATACCACTTTCCTTTCTTCCCAGCGGTTGAAAATTGGATATGTTATGCATGAAATACGATTTGCTTGCTATGCTTACTTGTAATGCTATGCTGTGTTGTGGTTGTGGTTGTGCTATGCTAAGTGCTCTTGTAAATCATCGCTTGTACATCGTTCGCCCTGCCTACAAATATGCCTGAATCAATAGAAGAAAGAAGTTACGGATATCCCCATATCCAAAAAATGCCAAATCATGCAAACGCGCTGTGCCCAAAATCCAACCTTTCCTCCTGCAAAAGTGGTATCTTGCCTTCCCTTTCTTACCAATTCAAATCCAAATCATCGCCATCTTACCCCAGAATCAGTACGTGACACAAAGAAAACCTCCATAACCGGAGCGCGGTATCCACCCGTCCATCCATCTACCCAACGACAGCCTTCTGACTCAGTTTCTCCAAAAACCCACTGAGATCCTCCTTTTTAATCTCAATCACACACGCCTCGAAACTGTCCATTCTTACTCGTGCTCCCGTCTCCCTCACAACCTCTTGAAACGCGTTGCCGAATCGATTCCTGCCTGACCCCCTCTCCTCATCCTCATCTTCAGAATCCTCGGAGTCGTTATCCGAGGAATCGGATTCTTCGGCTTCGGACTCCGAGTCATCAGCAACCTCGTCTTCTTCAAGCCCAGCAGCTAGATTCCGCGCCACACGCGCTTTACGGCGGGATTCCCTCGCTTCAGCTTTTTGCGCCTGCCGCGCCTCTTTAGCTTTAAGTTTAGCCTCTCGTTTCTGAAGGCGTGATTTAGCAGATTCAGTTGCGCCGCCGCCGCCAAGGCCGACGACAACGTAGAGACCACGAGAGTCGTCGAGGCCAGCCATAACGAGCTCGCTGCCTTTGTTTTTGCCTTTTGTGCCGTTCAGTTCGACGATGGCTTCGGCGATCCAGAGGGCGAGTTTGGTGAGGGCGCCCGGGTGGGTGAAGAGTTGGACGTCGGGGCCTTCTTTTACGACGGCCATGCGGAAGGCGCGGAGGTGGCGGATTTGTTTCTTTTCGATTAGGGCGGTTCCGGTGCGGAGGATTGCGCGGTGTAGATGCTGGGCTGTGCTGATGTGCTCGACTAGGCGGTCGATGTCACCCAGGGCGTCGTAGGCGGTCCAGAAGCGGCTGGTGATGTGTTCTTGGGCGAGGTCTTGTTGTTCTTGCGTGGAGGAGGGCATCTCAGTGTGGTCGTTGGCTCCGACGAAGTTGGAGCTGTCGAGGGCGGATTGGTTGAGGTTCTTTGCGTCGCCGACTTCGAGGATGGCTCCTAGGATTACGCCGGCGTCGATGGCGGAGAGACATGCTTTCCAGCCCCAGCAGCGTACGAAACCCCATCCGTCTTTGGGGTCGCCTGTACCTGACTTTGGTGGTACGAGACCATCGAGACCATATTGTGGGGCGAACTTGAGGAGACGCTCTCGGAGGCCTCGCTTGAGTTCCATATCCATGTGCGTGTATCTTTGCTTGCACTCAGTGAGTGAAACACCCATCTTGGCGAGGAGTTTGGCAAGTCGCTTTTGCCCTGCATCACTCCAGATGTGTAGCTTGGCGGAGAGGTAGGGCGAGTGGAGCATACTTTCGTAGAGAGACCAGTGCCGGAGAAGGAGGAAGCGCGGTTCTGGGGAGAGGCGGATGGACTTGTCTGTTGCTGAGAGAGCGCTTGTGGGGATGACACCCCACACTTCGCCCATTGTTGCATTGCGAGACACACTCGAGGCGTCTGTGACAGGGTTCAGTCGCCGTACTTCGTCTCGAAGGACAGAGCGTATGTTCTCTCCGCGGTTGCCGTTCCATCCCGCCGAACCTCCTTGTGCTGAGAGGGGGTTCAAGCCAACACCGCTTCCTGTCCGCCCGTATAGTTCCAGACTGCTGACACCAACGATGGCATTCCATAGCAGATCATTGTCTTCGCGGCCGAGTTCCGATGCTAGGTTGTATACGAGAGAAGAGACGGGGTCTGAGTAGGAGGTACCGAGTCCGTAGTATTTGTCGAGCGTGGATGCGTACTTGTTCCGCTTCTTGATCAGCTGCCTTCGAAGGCTCTTTAACGACTTCTCTTTCTGTGCGGCTACTGATGGGGATGCGGAGCGGCTGCGGGAGTCTGAACGAGAAAAGTCGGAAGAGCCGCCTAGTTGTTGCGCTGCTAGTAGACCTCTTCGCCGTCTCGGTTCGGGTGACGATGGTATTGAGCCTCCCTGGGTCATGTTAGTATGGACTCCGTTTGAACGTCGATTATGCATACCGAATTACTCCTCCGTCTTTGTGCTGGCCGTTCGTCATCTGTCATGTCATCCTCAGAGTCGTCTTCCTCGCCCCAAGACTTCCTTTTCTTCGGTGCTTGTCCAGATGGCGGCTCCTCATCATCCTGGTCGTCCGAGTCATCGCTGATGTCGTCTTCTTCCCCCACCTCTGGCATCTCCTCAAGCCCAGCGTATGCTTCACGCTCTGCCTGTAGTTCTTCGTCGATGTCACCGTCGTCAAAGACTATGATTCCACCTCGTGACGACTGGTATGACTGCGTGATCTTGCCCTTGTCCACCCCCGCTTGTCTCCGCACAAACTCTCCCGTTGCGGGGTCCTGACTTATGGGGGCGGCAAAAACGTTGGTCAGATTCCACGGCCGTCTCGCGTCCAAGAGCCAGACCTCGACATCGCCAGTGCCACCCTCGCCATCCTCATCCACATCGAGGCCTAGTATCTCCTCCATGTCCACCATGCCTCCGACGCCCAAACATATTACGACGCCTCCACTTCCGCCGTCTGTCGTCCGCATGGGCCGTACCAGCTCTTCTGCCGCCCGTGATAGGTCGCCATATCCGGCTATCGGTTGGATCTTGTGTTGTATGTAGTCGCGCTTCAATAACGCGGTGAGGATTCGGCAGGCACAAAGCGCGTCTGGTTCGAGGGCGACGAGGAGTAAAACGGGCGGTGCGGCGGCATGTGTGCGTTTTATGAGGTTCTGGTATAGGTGGGCTATCAGATTTCGCGGAAGGTACATGGCGGCGGCGGTAGAGTGGTTTGCCCTGCGTGCGGGTGTCGAGAAAACGCGCTGCGAGACGCGTCGGGAGGATTTGAGAGGGGCTGGTGGGGCGGCGTGAAGCTTATGGTATGCTCTGCATTTGCATGGAGAATAATAGAAGACGTGATTAAAATAAAGAGTACGGCAGAAGGGCAATTGGCATGCGTGGGTGCGGGTGCTTGCACAGCTCGTAGGCGTGTGGTATCGAGGATGGCCGAGACGCGTTCGGCGCTAGCCGCGGAAATGGCTTCGCTCGGACGCGCCTCTGACGTGAACATTCACCCTCATCTCGATTCCGATCGCGACTCATCTCCTACATCAATAGTCCTATCGTTATCTCATCACGCTATACTGAGCACAGAGCTACGAATTGGTTCGGATGATCCGCTCTCGATTCCTGTCTACCTTTCCTCCCTGTGTCCTCCACCGTTCGGAAGCACACCTAGTCTTTCAACCGCAATAAGTCGGGAATGGCTCTCGTATACAGAATGGCATTTTCGCTTCCCATATCATTCTCTTTAGCCCAACGCATTCAAGAGACCGATTGCTGACAAGTCTTCATGTCAGTGGACGCAGAATCTCTTTTCATTTCCTGATGAATGATCGGACAAACGTTATCGGCTCTGCAGCATTGCTGGATATTGGCCTCTAACATGGCTCGAGCTGGACGAGCGAAGGAACGATCTCGTACCATTCTTCGAGATGGTTTCCGTTGGCATCGCCCCATTTGGTAAGACCAGGATTGACAACGAACGCAACGACTCCTTCGCGAATGTCATGCCCATTTCGATCAGGTACTGCAGACATACCGTCTGGTTCGAACCGCTCTCCGATATCTGGATAGGTGACCTGAAGGCGGCACCGCTGAAGTGACAGGTTCATAGCCAAAGTGGATGCTTGGTTGACAATGTCAGAAATCTGCACGAGGTCCGCTTTTGGGGAGATTGCCTCAAGATTTCCTTTGATTGTGTTGACAGTAGCCGCGCGCATTTCGAGCACTGATTCTTGCAGGTCTCCGATTACCCTATTTGCGTGCCAGTTCTTTCCCCCAGTCTGGCCTTCAGCAACAGTTTCTCGGCCGATCTGTTTCAACAAGTTCTTGACTGTATTGAGTCGCCAGGCTTCGCTGTCTGGGGATGGATCCGGCCATTCTTCACCGTGTTCCTCTCCGAAAATGCAGGTCCAGGCGACATCGAGATTTTTAGCGATCTTCCCGAAGAACGTGAAAGGGTTCAAGAAGACGTAGCTTATGAGGGCACACCAGATCCAAGCCTCGACGTAAGCCTTCTTACGTGCGCGGGTATTCCATTGATGCTTGCCTACTTTTTCCAGGAATTCCGAAGGCTGAAGGATCTCCAGTACATCCACACCCTGTGCCGGTACGACTGAACGGCCTAGTGATCTGATGGACGACGCAAGGGCGTGGAAATCTCGAGAGAACGTCTCGTCCGAAACGGCTTGGACTTTCGAGACGTTGGCAAGCATTTCTTTCTGTAGCGCGCGCATCTGCACATGAATCTTCTGAGTCTCACTTTGAGAAATTCCTAGATTCTGAACCAAGTCTTGGAGCTCGGCCTGCCGAGTGATGTTCTGCTCCTCTAGCGATAGACACTGGATCTGTGAAGCCACGAGCTCGTCCCTCGTGTCTTGTATCTGGAGGCTCATGCTGTGTAGATGGTGGTGTAGGTCTTCAGTTTGTAGTGCGTCGTCGAGAAGAAGCCTCCTGATGGTGTTGACAGAGGATTCTGTGAACTCGTCGAACGCTAGATGCTTTGACTCTGCATAGGGTCGAATAGCCACGTCGACGACGTGATCATATCTATACTTCCAGTATTCCCCGAACGATTCCAACTGGTGGCATTCCTCTTTCAGCCCCTCAACCATCTCTTTCATATGTACATTTTCTTTGCGCAGCTCTGCGCTATTCTCGTCCTCGTGCCGAGTCAGAGCCCTTCCCACAAACACCGGTGTGTCTTCGTGGTTGGCGGTGCAGCTCCCAGAGGACCTTGCCGATCCTGTCACCCTCTTCCTGGTATCGGTAGGATCCTCACTCGAGGCTTGACTGTTGCGATTGCGGCGGAATTCGGGAGGCGTCGATGGATCATCTGCGCCGTCCATGACGGGGGACATAGACTGATCGTAAGTGTGAGAGAAGGCTATAGCAGGTCGGTAATGTGCTTACATTTTTGGGGTTGTAGGTGCTATCGTCTTCGTCGTCCATTGCTATTTCTTGTGTGGCCATAGAAGCTCGCGGAATATCGTTGGCTAATTGTTGTGCTGACTAGAGTAATTGCAAGACTTTTCAGATCTTTTCCACCTTCACCTGGTCTACCGCGCGTCTCTGTGGCCACCCTTACCGCATCCGCCCTGCGTCTCCATGACAACTCACCTTCACCAAAATCACAAACGAGCTGCCGCAGTGCTAGTTTTTCGGGCAAGCTGCCACCAACGAAACTCACAATCTACACTTACCTACCACTCACTTCGGAGCTGTCAACATCCAAGATCGCTATGGAGGGCAGCCGGCTGGTGATTGGCCTTGATTATGGGACGACATACACAGGTAAGCGGCATAGCCGGATCCTTCAAACGCGCATAGCTAACCTCTTGTGACAGGTGTGGCCTTCACCGAAGTCTCAGACGCAAACTCAAGTCAACAAGACATCGAGGTCATCCACAACTGGCCTTCCCGTCATGGTAAAATAGGCACGAGGGAGAAAGTTCCAAGTGAGGTGGCCTATCTTGAAGAAGGCCTGCGATGGGGTGCCGACATTCCGCCATACGAGAAGCGCCACATGTGGACAAAGCTCGAGCTTGACAACCGCGGTGATGGTGAAGTTGCTAAGATCCTTGCCGAACTTTCATCTCCTCCGGACGCGACACAAAAGCCAGCTGTCGAGATCATCGCCGATTTTCTCACGCAAGTCAAGGCTTGGTTGGTTACCAATCTGGACGACAAATACGGAAAAGAACTGTGGCGCACACTACCTATCACGCTGGTGGTCACTTACCCGGCAGTGTGGTCTGATGTGGCTAAACACCGTACTATGCAGGCTGTCGACAAGGCCGGGTTCAACGCATTACAGTTCCCACGACTCTTGCTGCCTATTGTAGTGGTCTCAGAGCCAGAGGCTGCTGCGATCCATACTATCAAGTCACTTCGCGGAACTGCCCAGGATACCAAGCTCGTAACTGGCGACGGTTTCATCGTGTGCGATATGGGTGGTGGTACTGTTGACCTCATCGCCTATCGGGTTTCAAGTGTCAATCCAACAGCCATCGAGGAGGCCACAGTGGGTAACGGTGCTCAATGCGGTGGCAGCTTCGTGGATCGCAACTTTCTCCATTTTCTCGAGAACCGTCTAGGCTCTGGAGACTTCTTCAAGATCGCTGGTTGTCACAGTGGAGATATACCTCGTACTTCGCTCACCCGCAAAGCGGCGAAGCTGCTCCAAGACTTCACTATGGAGGTCAAGGGTGGTTTCTCTGGAACTCAGATCAACTACATACTACTACCGAACCCGCTAAGCGCAATCGATGATGATGAGAGCAGAGGTATCAGCGATGGGGAACTCACTATCACAGCGTGAGTACTGCCGACCACATTTTCCTGACTTAGACTGACTTGAACAGCGACGACACGATGGCGATGTTCGATCCTTCTCTCCGTAAGACTCAAGAGCTGATTCAAGAGCAAATCCAGCAGGCCCGCGCTAGAAAGCTGAAGATCAAGGTACGTTTTCATGTCCGGGTCACTGGGGGGATACTCAGCATGTGTAAGACGGTTTGGCAATCGTGCACCGAACCGTCTTACTGTTGTTGTGTTCCCTCTCCTTTGGCACTTGCCATGGCACTTATTTCTTCGCATGCTGACGTGAGTAGTACGTCTTCTTGGTTGGCGGCTTTTCAGAGTCCCCATATATGTACGCAAAGATCAAGAGCTTCGTCGATAAAGACGGCATACAAGCAGTTCGTCCCTCCAATGCGTAAGTCTCCTCATATTCCCACAATATAGACCCCGACTAACAACAGTATCAACAGCTGGTCTGCGGTGGTTCGGGGTGCTACGGCCAAAGGTCTCGAAGGTTCCGACAACAATGCGGTCTTAAAGCGAAAGAGCCGTCGTTATTATGGAACTCCATACTCTTTACCATACAGCAGACGTCTGCATGACAAAAGGGACATATACTACGACCCGTTCGACGGCAGAAAGATGGCTTACAACCAGATGAGCTGGTTGGTGAAGAAAGGTCAAGATCTACACGCATCCAAAGCAATGCATGCGACTGTGGACCTCCATCCCCACTACTGGGTTGATGAGGAGAGAATCACCGAGTTCGAGCTTGTCGCGTGCAACTCAAACGTTGCCCCGTCGCGTTATGCTGATGATGTAAGCATACCTAGTCCAAAACATTGTTGACACAGCTAACATACGCGTCTAGGCAGTCTACCGGGTTGCCACACTCCGTGTAGATCTGAGTGACATACCTGAGGAGACCTTGAGTCTGAACATTAGCGCATCTGGTCGGAAGTACTACACGGTCGACTGTACTGTTAATATCTCCCTGCAGTCCTCTCTTGAGTTCTTCCTCACTGTCGGGGGCAAGAGATACGGATCTCTGACCGCGAAGTATGATTGACGCTGAGCATCAAGCTGTCTGCCGCCGACATGCAGACTTTCTGGCGTTGTACAGCGATGGTGACTTCATTGTAGGCTTCGGACGGGATTTTCACGATTGTTGCTGCTTCAGAGTGAGACATACGATGCAAGAGCAGGAGCATACATTGGTGGCGTTGGAGTATCTTTGTGGATCCCTTCAGGCTTCCATATGAGTGTGTCCTCACTACGCCCACTTTCTGAAGAGGAGCGTCATCGTTAGCTACACAGATAGTTAACAAGCCACTTCCCTCAAACTCAAATGCACTCTGAACTTCCTCGCCTCCTCCCGCCGTGACAACACCCCATCCTACGACCACGCCACAACCACCCCATCACCCCCTCCAACCACGCCTCCCTCAGCAAACCCCCTTTCAACCCCTCAACAATCATCAAACCCCCACCAATCACCACCTGCCCCTCTGCCAAGCCCCCAAACTCTCTCGGCCCAACCGTCCCTTAGCACCACGCACTAAGTCACGTTACCTCCATCTCATGCGCGTCATCTCACCAACCATGCCCTTTCCAGCCATACAGCCGACGCGAAAAGTGGGGCCCAACGATCCTCAAGGCAATGAGTGTGAAACGGCGATCGTGGGAAAGGTTTAGGGTGCTGTGTGGCGTTTGAGCTTGACGGGCGGCGCGGTGGCTTGGATTAAACGCGAAGACGCGCGAATGTACGCGAAGCACGCGAAGGGGGAAGCGAGGCGAGGGGCTGGGTAGCTTGGGTTGGGTCCGGCAGTGAAGGGAGGGGGGGAAGTGGTGCGAGTATGGGCTGGAGCGAACCGAACCATTACCAGTTTTTTCTTGCTGGGGTAAGCAGATGGGGGTTGTGGTTGGAGTAGTGTAACGTGTTTGCATTGATGGGAGTGTCTGGTAGAGAGATGGGATGGACTGCGGCTCGAGAGAAATGTATTCCACGGTCTCAATGACCTGTTTGTTGGACAGATGGACCAGTTCCCTACCAGAAGAGCCTGCGACACGTTCATCCTGTCACTCAACCGTCCCCAAACCTTCTCCATCCTCACTGCGCGATGAGAATGCAGCCCAACACGGAAACCACGAACCCAGCTAGCACAAGATCTCGTCTCCGTATCGCCGCATGAGCATGGCCTGTGTTAAGTTAGGCACAAATTTGCCCGCACAAGAATCTCGTACCATTTTTCGTCAGCTGTGACGGGAAACCCCGGTGTGTTGCTACTGCACGGCATCGCCCGATGTCACCAGGCAGGTTTTCGCGGCTGTCGATCACTAGTTCAAGCGCGAGTCTGAGACTGGAAGTGCGCAATGAGATCTACGCTACACATTCGCTTTCGCATGTGACGGTGGTAACGAGCCGAGTGGCCGTCTTTGTCTTCCAAATCTTTCAGGGCTTGCGCGCGCTGGTAGTGTATGTTGCGGCTGCAGGTACGGCATCGGGGGACGCGATGCAAAGGAAGGTCTCATTTTCAAGCGCATCACTCATAGGGATTCAGTGTGTAATTTTGAATTGTTTGTATTTTGAGTTCGGTGGGCGGTGTGTTTTTTTGATCCCAAGGAGGGTAGGGTTACTACTCTCTCCGTTGACAGTGTGATACCTAGTACCGTAGCGATGTATAAGAAAGGAACAAAAAGAAAGACGACATCATGTTGTCGTGATTAATGACTCCGTACCCAAATGCATAATGCCCTCGTCATAACACCATGCTGATAAAGAAAAGCGTGGGGACGACGACGTCCGAAACCACGCGCAAACCGAGAGTGTAGAAAGGGTTGAGACCGCTAAGTCAAATACCCATCGAAAACTGAATGAACGAGACGGACGCGTGGTGCGATGCCTTCTCCAACGTGTGCGTATTATGTGAACTCGACCTAGTCATCATATGTTCATCCAGGGGAATTCTTCCTCCGCCTCGTCCTCGCATGACAAAATCTTGATATCGGGGCGAAACTCGAGCAAGCCGGTCGCAAAATCTCGATATGGAGGAAGTCGATCGGAGTCTTCCTAGACCTTATAATCCGTCTCCTGTTGAATCTTGATATCGGGCCAAACCTCGGGCAAGTCGATCGCAAAATCTCGATATGGAGGAAGTCGATCGCGGTCTTCCTAGACCTTATAATCTGTCTCCTGTTGAATCTTCTGATCCCATGGATCAACATTTTGATGATCGACGTACGAGGGTACCATGTTAAAGTTCATGGAGTTGTACACCTGTTGACCTGGGTGACCTGGGTGACCTGGATGACCTGGATGACCTGAATGACCTGGGTGGAATGGCATCCGTGGTGGTTGTGCGAGAGTGGAGGAAGCGTACAAATTCATGCTATTTGGGTACGCTGGCAGAGGTGGGGGATCAGAGCCCAAGTTGGTAGGCAGGATGTAGCCAGAGTCTTCTCTCCTCCTCTTGTTGGAGTGCTCGTACTCGTAGGCGGAGTGGTCGATGGGTGCCTGTGTGGTCGGCTCTGGGTTTAAGGGTAGAGTGTATTCTTCCCTTCTTCTCTTGGACGACTGGAACTCGTAGCTGGGTGCGATCTGTGCCTGGGAGGTGGGCTCTGCGTCTCCCTGGAACGAACGCTTGTTGTTCATCATCCCTCTAGCTTCTTTGCGCAACCTGAGTCGAACGCCCTGGTCGGAGAACGCTCGCGAGAGATACGTCGACTCTTCGAGACCCTTGAAGTCTTTGGGAAGTACGACGTCGAACTTCTCACTAAGTACAGAGCCGAGGTTCTGTACCTCCCCACGTGAAGGGTGGAACTCGTACATGCTGAAACACAGTCTGAAGCTGCCCTGAATCCGGACAGAAATATCGCCGAAGACGAAGAAACCGCCGTCCTTGTTATTCACATCCTTAAGACGATGCAGGGACGACACCAGTGTGCCGGCCATGGATTCATTGGGAGTGTGCTCGACGGGCTCATCTCTGTCCGCTTTGTACAGGGATGCACTGAGGAAGATGTACGGGTTTTGTAAGAAGCTGTTCGAGGCGTCAACGCCATCCCGAAGGTTGAGCTGGAGAATGGGTGGAGGATCCACAGGCTTCCGGAACTTTTCCTTGCTCTTGACCGCGACCAGTGCCTCTTTAGGCTGCTGGCGGACGGACAGGTAACAGTTGTTCGGGCTCAAAGGCTCGGGGCCTTGACTTGCGACTGGTAGTGTGACAGGCATGTGCTGTTGATAGTAGGGCTGGTTGTACTGCGGCGGCATCGGGTGGTGCGGATACATGGTTGGGATGTTCATGTTCATGGTCTGGCCCTCTGTAGCAGAGGTCGGCGGTCGTAATCGTGTTGTAAGGAACCCAAGGATCAAGTCTCAGAGACGCCCGAAAATGTGGTGGTGAGATGGAGTCGTCCGGTCGAAAAATACTGAGAACATAAGAGAATTTGGAAATTCGGCTAGCGGCCTTGGAGAGAAATACGCGAAAGGTGACCAATCGAACAAAGGTTTGAGTCACTACGGAGTGCAGTGCCGCCCGAAGGTGCTGCGTGACCAGTGATTGTAGTGGTAATGAGCGATGAAAGTGCGAGTGGATCACCGTTCCATGGGTGGAGGACCCTTTTCGGAGAAAGTACCGTCGAAGCGCGGCTGCCTGTTCTGACTGTTCCAGTCCAGCACAGTCGATAATAATGCGTGTCCTCGTATGGTATGCGCTGCCTTTCTCAAAATTGGAGGCACCTCTGGAAAGCGTCGATATCAGAATGGCGCGCGCGGGAGTGGATCTGGCGCTCGCCTTGCAACGGGACCGAACTAAAGGCCCGCCTGCGGAGAGAAGGTTGACTCCACCCTTGACCGTGACTTCCAACAGAAATAGGCGCAGATATAAGCAACAACGAAAAATGTGTACTGCGCCTGCGTCGCTCAGCACCTGCAGTGTGGAACCCGTAGAACACTGTACTTTTCGCACTGTCTCCGCAAGGCATAGCACCAGCTTGATGTCGAAGAGGAGTTTGCGATTGAACTGAGGTTACGCAGGTCTGGTACCGAACCGTGGTCGAGAGTGCCCTGGTGTGCTCCGAATATTACAACAAAGAGGGCCGTTTCCAACGGCTTCGAGGGTATTAGTGTCGTGCTGGTCGACCAGTCAAGCAGCGATGACGTGTCGGGGGGTAAGTCTAGGGTAATCTGGTAATATATGGAATTAGAAGTGAAGGTCAGAGGAAGAGCGTCGAGAGCGACGACGTCGCAGTGCTCATGAAGGAAGACGCACAAGAGTAAGACACAAGATAGAAGAGCTGGCAAGGGTACCTCGAGGTAGTCGTCTCAATCGGGGCTCCTCTACACTCGTGCTTCCGTGGCGGCTTCGACGGTGATTCGTCGCTTTCCGTCTAGTCTCGAGTGCAACTGGTGCCGAGCGCGGCCGATCAGTGCTGTAGGGTCTCTCCGAGCTAGCGTGCTAAGAGATGAACGAGCGGCGGCGTGAATCATGCGAACAAGCTCTAGTGCAGCCAATCGAACGTCGCCTGGGCTTCTTTCTTCTTCTGTAGGCACGGTCGCTTTGGAAGCTAAGGTTTCTCGCTTGTTGACACAGGCCTGGTTGATTTTGCTCTTGCACCTCGTCGAGTCCGGAGAGGGCTGCAGTGTGGTTGATGCGTTCTGCAGATGACGTCGAGGGTACAATCGAAAACGACAGGACGGTATGCACTCAGCGAAATACCGGGTTCGCGATGGAGATGGGGCCTTGTCCAGCCCGCTGGTGCATGTGTCAGCGTGCAAGGACGGCACGGCGGGACGAGGTACAAGAAGACAGGCTGGTCGCAGATGCTGTGCCGTAGTGCAGCGACTGTTCTATATGCTCAACAGCACTTTCGAATGAAGCCGAAGAGAGCCCAAGGGTCGTTTGGCGCTAGAATGCAGCAATAGCCCGTCCGCACTATGCTGCCAGAGCGAGGGTAACCCATGCAGCCGGATGGCAGAGCCTGGCTGCACAGACTGCGCGGCAGTAGAGCAAGGATAGCGAGACGGCTTGGATTCAACGGCAATCCCAGGTTTGGGGTTGGTAGGGCACT